ATACCTTTTAGTACATATGTTGTTAAAATAAAATGAACAGTCCAATGATTATTTTACTGATATGTATAAAGGCTAAAAAATCTTGAAGTCTGTATAAAATTGGAGGTAGTTTGAGGATAAATTTTTTATGCTTTTTAAGCTCAAAAGTGGCGGTCATATTATACATGAGATTGTATTATATATGAATAAATTCGGTACCTAATTGTGGTATAGAATTGAACTATGTGCCTGGAAAATAAATAACACTCCTCATTGAGCCCTCGGTTTAAAAGCAAACATCTGTTCTTTATTTTATTTGTTTATTATGGCTTGATAGGTTCCCCACAGTCAGTTTAAGAACTATAGATTTAACATGACAACTAAGATCTTCAAGAAACACCTCTGGGTGACATGTTCCTTCATGTCCAGGAAAGTGAAAAAGTCTTTCAGTGATAAATACCAAATGTGAATTGATCCATCCCTGAAAGTTTAATGCTTATTGGAGAAGCTTGTTGCCTTGCAGTGAAAGCAGAGGTATAAATATTGTCTATAAAAGCGTTCGCCTCAGTTTATGTTTTAGATCCGTATATCTCCTCTGTTTACCAAACCTAACCTGTGATGCATGCCAACAACCTACACTGGATCCACAACCCATCTGTGTCTGTGATGGATGCAGGCAGTGAAGATTTCATAGAGGCAGCTTCATGCGGGTGTGCAGCTGTTTGCACACTGAAGTTACAGGTTGAAAGAGTCATGGGCTGCTGGAGGAGAGGCTACAAAGGGCTTTTTTTTACTGTTCAAAGAAGACCCTTTTCCTTTGTGTTGCTCAAAACAAAGAAAAGCAGATGCTCACAGACTAGTTTCTTTCAATCATTCAAAACTGTCAAAGCCATCCAAGCAGGCGTTATCACTGCTGTAGTCTCAGATTTCCTGCTTCAAAGCAAACGTAGTCTCTTTTTACATCTGGCTTAAGGATTTTTTAGGACCTGGCTTATGTGATGTCCATAAAGGGAGTATTGGTGTGTAAATTCTCAGAGTTTAGTCAGTTCATTTTTGTCATGTTAAATGGGACATATCATACAAAATCCACTTTTTCAGCTGTTAAATGCATTTTGTTGTGTACTTTGAGTCTGTAGGAGTGCAGAAAATGTCAGTTTAGTCTGTCGGTGCTGCATTCTTTATATTCTGTTTGGGTCATATTTTTCAACCCCTTCAGTTTTCTCTATTTTCTATTAAGTTTTCTAAACTATTAAATCAAATTATTTGCAAATGAACTACCAAATAAGGTCTGGAATTACCGACTACAATTTGGTCATCTTTATTCTCCTCTGGCTCTATACGCAAACAGATATAATGGATTTAATTTAAAAATGATGTCAACAGTTTCCACTCAACTGAATTGAGTAAAGGGAACACATTTAGTGTATTTGCTTACTATTACTTAAACTCAATGTCAAGTAAATGTGTAGCTTTACTCAGTTCAGGTGAGTGGAAACTGTTGACATATTTTTAAGCCACTTCAGTAGAAAACAGAACTTATTAGTTTCGTTATCATCAGTGACTTTTGTTGACATGATTTTTGAGTGAACATGTAAGTCTGGATGGATGTCTTCCATTGTTGACATCTTTTTATGAATTTGTAAAGTTTCTGCGCAGCTATATATTCATAAACCCCTCTGTCAAACTGGAATAGACCACTCTGGAAGCAGGAGGGGGTGGGGTGTGATGCACCTTGTTTGGTTTCAAAGAGACAGCCTCAACAAGTTGATCTGAGACACACAGGGGTGAAAGAGGGGCTTGTGGAGTTACAACAAGGAGGAAATCCAACCCATTCTCACTCCCGAGTCGTCACATATTGACGTTTTTCAAAGGTCCCTTTGCGTCCAATTTTGATGCATCAGGTACCCCCCTCGCGTCAGTCCTTGCCGCCCGCGGCTTTTCCGGGTTGCGCCACCAGGGGTCTTTGGGTCGGGGGTCTGAGGTTAACATTAGGGATCAGGATAAATG